ACATCCCTTTTTTGTACCCTTTTCATTCCATTTACATTTTCCAAACTGCTCCCAGCGATGTGCTCATCTGCCTCAGTGCCATTTTTAAAATTTAATGATAATAGTAAAGGAGAGTGAACATCTGAGTACAGCTTGAAAAAACTTGAACATACATATTTACAATGAAACACAGAAAATCATCGTACAAATAAAATAGTCAACAACACTGGAATGACAGAAAGTACATTTGTCTTCTTTGTCATCGTAAACTCTGCTATTATGGATAATAAGACTTTTTTTATATATTTCCCATTGTTAACGCACATTTCCTATTGTTTTTACACATTTCCTATTGTTTTTACACATTTCTAACAACATGTTACCATATGATTTTTACTTGTGTCCATATTACATCTTACTTTAAACATATCATATAATTCTTAATTGTTTGAAATATCTACAACAACAGTATAAACACTAACATGGACTATGAAAGATTTTAATATATTCTACATCTCGACTAGTTCTACTATTGAAGCCACCATTCAAAAGTTTATACTTGTACTCTACAGAAAATTGATAATAATTATTGTTCTATTTACCATTCGCGATAAGGTAAAATGACATATTATGGGACATCGACTGTAAAGATTAGATTGCCTTTATTAGATAGATAACCAGGTGCTAGACCATTTATACAATTAAACATTAAGACAACTTGAAAATATTTTTTCCTCGTAAATATAGTCATCCATTCAAGTTCTTGATGGTTGATGGAAAATTAAAAAAAACACTCAAAATAAATCTTGCAGAAAGTTTTTGGACCTAATGAATTATTTCCAGATTACTGTTTGTGGTAAGACCCTATCCTGTACAACAATAGTCAATATTAAGTAATATATAGCGATTGTAAAAAAAAAACACCCTTTAATGGCAAATAATGTTTCAACCTTTTTAACAGGTATATATTTTTTATCAATTAGATTTGACCATGACAAATTTTTATCAATATAGATTCATAGAAGTTTTTCAACTTCAATATTATCTAAAGAGATATTATCCTGTGATAAAACAAATAAACATTCATTGCAGTTTTCCCGTTTCCTGTCTGTTTGTATACTTGCAAATCTCATTTTTTGCGGCATTCTCCATCGCCGTCGCTATTTCCATTGCTTTTTGGAAATTTCAATTTTGATTCAGCTAAAAGTAGCCTCTGTATTCGGTCGTCTTAAATGACACACACAAGTGTGTCTCTTTAAAATGTCTTCCAGTGTGAAATTAAAATTACAATGTTCCGAAATATTTCCCAATTTGGCCACGTACAATAAAAGTTAGGACGATTTTATCAATTTGGTAAGTTTTGTCGGCAAAAAGGGTTGACATTGAACGGGACAACTGAAAGAGAAAGGTGCAAGGCACTGTCTGAACGCCGGATAATGAATTCAATAAACATTCGCAGTCCGATCAGCCGTGACTTTGTATAAAATGTCAAACGGACCTCCTCCCCTAAATATGTCGTCATATTCCTATTCCGTCGCGTACATCTGTATTCATATAAAAGGTATATTTGACTTTAAAAACAAAGGGATAGGCCAATTTTCTCCTGAATCTATGTCACAATAGCGGCAATATAAACAAAATCTTTAAACCTTTACTTAAACTCAAATTATCAGACCTCAATGCGTTTACGTACAATAATATGGCTAATCATGAACAGAAGTTTTGAAAGCCTGAATATTACATAAAAACGCAAGTGTGTCAGAATTCGACAAATGTTTAATATCTCTCCTCAAAATGTACAAGTGGGAAATTTTTATTGAAACTTCAACCAAATTGCTGTTTGATGTAAAGTTAAGTATTGTATTTCAAATACACATTATCTTTATTTTTGGTGAGTGCCGTCTTTTGAAGCAAAATTTAATAAAACATGCAAAATTTGGAATTTTGAATTAAGATGTCTTTATCAGCAACATGTAGAGCCGAATTGCTTTTTTTTCAATTTTGCATCAAAATGCCTTTATCAGCAACACATAGAGCCAAATTACATTTTGAAAAATTTGCATCAAAATGCCTGAAGGTCGTCCTTGTAAAAATACAAATCAAAAATGTTTGAATGGATTTGATATACATTTTTTATCACTAAAACATAATTTGTTAACTTTGTTTTCATTCCATATCAGGTACTACTGACATTCATACATTGATATTGGGAAGGCAAAATAGGACCAAAAAAGTCTTTTGAAAATCAACACTGCGAGTAAAACAAATACAAGAAATTTTATTGTATCAATCTTTCATAGTCTTCATAGTAAGCCAAGGGGCATACATTCGCATTGTATGATTCGTTATCAGCGATTATAATTTATGATTACACTTTAAGATTAGAATTCAAGATAAATTCTAAAAGAGAGCGGATATACCAAATATAAAAAGAAGATGTGATATGATTGCCAATGAGACAACTCTCCACAAGAGACCAAAGTCTACACAAAAATACAATACAGAATTGCTTACATTAGGAAATGCCTGTACCACGTAAGGAATATGACAGTTGATTTCCATTCGTTTGATGTGTTTGAGCTTTTGATTTTGCCATTTTATAAAGGACTTTCCGTTCTGAATTTTCCTTGGAGTTCGGTATTTTTATTATTTTACTTTTTACATCCACTTCATTTGAAGTCTGGTGGTTGGTTGTTTCATTGGCAATCATACCACATCTCCTTATTCTTATATAGAAAACTAATGACTAAGCAAAACGAACGCCATCAATAACCGGGGGTGATCTTGGACGCTACGGAAGTGTAAGCAAATCTTGCTTCACACAATGCATCCGTCGTGTTGTTCAAGTTGCATGTTGCATGTAAGTAAAAAAAAAAAGCAAAACCCCGCTACAAACTAAAACTGAGAGAAACACATCAAATATAAGAGGAGAATAACGACACAACAGAAACTCAACACTCAAATGCAACACATACAGAAACGAACTATAATATAACAAATGCCATTTTTTTGACTTGGTACAGCACATTTTTAAGAAAAAAATGGTGGGTTGAACCTGGTTTTGTGACTAGCCAAACCTCCCGCTTTTATGGCAATGTTAAATATAACACTAAAATGACACCATTACATGACAGGACTACAATACAAATAAATGGGAGAACATACAGGACAGAGACACAAGCAAATATAGCTATCAAAAGGTACCAGGCTTATAATTTAATACGCCAGACGCGCGTTTCGTCTACATAAGACCCATCAGTGACGCTCAGATCAAAACAGTTCGAATGCAATATGTTAATTCACATAACGAAATATTTGCTCTGAAATCTCTATACATAAATAACGAGAGTTCACAACTGATAAGAAAATCAAAATTGAACAAATATATTCTACAGAGAATAGATCAATGCTTGGCTTGAACATGTCGCCAACTTTGGTAATTTTTATTTTGGGCTTTTCAATCTCACATGCATCGTGGTGGCACCTACATCCACACATGGCCTGGAACGATGTGACAATTGAACATCACATCAACACTTCTGTTCATGGAGACATGTTTGTCGTCGATTTGTTTGATGTACCTAAACGTGTTATTGATGATCTCCACAGGTATGTCAGATTGACGATTACTGGTCGGTGGGGAGATGCACTTGATTTTGTATGGGTTACATAGAAAATTGAAGAGACGACACCGTAAAATTATGGCATCTAATTAATTCTTAAATCGCATTTTTTCTGCAGTTAAATATATACTAAACACTTATGTAATTTCCATTTATCGTAAATATCGAAACTTTCTTTATTTGTAAATTTTACTGCATACTTACTTTATTGATTTACTATAACTGAGTGGATAAAATTGCTGGTGAACTATTAATCTTTTCGCTTCTACACATTCAGGATCATTTTCATTATGTGCTGCAAACATACATCCTCAGATGAAATTTATTAATTGAGTCGTTGTTATGGATTCATGACCCCACTATCTTAGACATTTTGTCATAAGCGATCATCTCAGTACCAGAATCAATAACAAACGAGACGATTTTAATTTTGAAATTATAAATTTCCCCCACCTTAGCACTAATATACCAACTTCACCTGCATATGGGACATACATTTCCAAACTCATTCGGTATTCAAGATCATGCAGCTGCTACTCAGACTTCATAAAACGTCACCAGTGTCTGAGCAGAAAGTTGATGAACCAGGGTTATGCCAAAGAATGTCTCGTCCTCTTTCTAAAAGTTCATCGAAAGATACTAAGACCTTGTTAAGTATAAGTATTCTGTATAAACTTCAAAAATTACACATGATGGTCTTGAAGTATAGTTTCTAGGTACTGACGTTGTTTATCGTCTTGATTACGTGTTATAGTGTTCTTTTCATTTGTAATTGTACATTTGTAACCTTTGGACTGTTTAGTCCATGTTTGGTAATATCCTTTTGGCGTGGCTTGGTATTAATATATCCTGCCATTGTTTTAATGTGCCATGGTCATTTTTTGTTTTCTTGTCTTTTATTTTTCCTTTTTGTGCTTTGTCTATAGAGTGTCTATATGCCATTTTGTTTTTCTTTGTTAAAACAGTTGTTTGTTTTTATAGTGATTAAGATTATAACACAATGTTGCTGTACCCCAAATTTTGACATTTTTTGCATATTATGTTTTTTATGTTTTGCTCTCACATTGTTGTCAATATAACATGTATAATGGAATTCTATGTGACTGTCATACACGTGAGAGGTTTAGTTAGCTATTAAACCAGGTTTAATGCACCATTTTCTACATAAGGAAATGCATGTATCAAGTCAGGAATATGACACTTGTTTTCCATTCGTTTGATGTGTTTGAGCTTTTGATTTTGCTATTTGATAAGGGACTTTCCGTTTTGAATTTTCCTTGGAATATATTTTGTTATTTGTTATTTTACTTCTTCATAAATAGTTTTGCTACTTTATTTAAACCGTACACTATTTTTGTATTAAATCTTTACTTGTAATATTTGTTTCTCCAAATTCAGAAATGGGAAGAAGGTGATATGTTACTTTTCTGCTGGAACGAAAGAAGATTGGCGGAAAGATGCCGATCAGTTCCCATCCGATGGACTTGGGGTTCCCAATAAGCACTCGCCAGGCGAGACGTGGGTGGACATCACAAATATTCAGTGCGTATATATATAATTTTCTATCTCCTTCGACGAAAGCCGCAGTATGCGAGACATATGGATTGCAAATCGGCGACGGCGATGGCGGAGTAAACTATAGTAAAAAGCTTTATATTTCGAAGGATAAAAGACATGTATACATTTACCCAAAGGATAAATATATTGATTTTGTTTTTATTGGTATAAATATTGATTTTGTTTTTATTGGTATAAATATTGATTTTGTTATCAGTAAATTAAAACCATACTAAATGTTATACATATGTACTTTCACGATACAACACTATGTCGATACCTATATTTTGGCATTGCACAAGGTCATGTTTTCTCTGGTTGTTAATGACGTCTTTAGACTAAATCCATTGGATGTTGGATGTGTACTGATTGATATTTTAGTCTTAGATACATGATTTTTTGTTATTAGTTGTTATTGGTTTGAATTAGCTGTCAGTAACTGCGAGTACTCTCAGATGTGTACTTAGTGTCTTTTTTGTTGTTAGGGATGAGGGATGGATATATATACCCTGCCACGTCCTGTCTGTGCTTTTGATTGATGTTTTTCTTTGTATCGATCTGATGAGTTGAGCTTTTTTTAACTGATTTTTATAGTTTGTTCTTATGTTGTGCTGTTACACCACTGTCCTATGTTAAGGGGAGGGTTAAGCGTTCACAAACATGTTTAACCTCGTCCCATTATTTATGTGCATGTCCCAAGTCAGGAGCCTGTAGTTCAGTGGTTGTCGTTGGTTCATGTCTGTCATATTTGTTTTTCGTAAATTGTTTTGTTAAAAATTAGTTTTCTCAATTTAATTGGTTCGTGTTTTTCATGTCGGGGCATTTTATAGCCGACTATACGGTATGGGTTTTTCTCATTGTTGAAGGCCGTACGGCTACCTATACTTGCTTACATCCACTTCATTTGAACTTTGGTGGATAGTTGTCTCATTAGCAATTATATCACATCTCCTTATATTTTATTCATACCTTGATTCAAGATGTAGATTTAACAAATGTTCCGTTTGTCATATGTCCATTGTCCTTGACTTCAATTTCATGGATAAGCGACTACCTAAAACATGTATAGTTTTTGGTCATGTGAATTCCTCACTTATTATGAGTAATAAGATAGCTAAATGTTGTGTATGGAATGATTGTAAGGTATACATGTCAGTTTGCCAGGTTTCATCTGACCTTTATCTCATTTTCATGGTAAATGTTAAGTTTCAGTAATTTTATACTATAAGTAATCGGTCAACTATATTTGGTGTATGAAATCATTGTAAGATGTACACGTATGTCTTTCAGGGTTCATCTGATCTGACCTCACTGTCATTGTCCATTGGTTAATTCTGATATGACGTCACTTTCATGGTTCATTGGTCAATGTTAAGTTTTCCTTTTTAAGTCTGTTTCTATACTGTTTAGATACTATAAGCAATAGGTCAAATATTTTTGGTTCACGGAATGATTGTAAGGCGTATATGTCTGTCTGGCATTATCATCTGACCTTTACCTCATTTTTATGGTTCATTAGTCAATGTTAAGTTTTCGTGGTTTTGTCTGTTTATTGGATACTATAAAGAAAAGGTCAACTATATTTGGTGTATGGAATTATTTTCAGATGTACATGTCTGTCTGGCACGGTCATAAATCATTGATAATGTTATGTTTATGTGATACTTAGTATAACCTTTATCTTTAAGACTTCAAACATAAAATCATCTATGGTCAGTAAAACAGACGAGACTTTTCAGCGTGTGCACTATTGTTATTAAACATTGCTGATATTCATATTTCCTCGTTTTATTCGAGTGGGCCAAACCAAAGACTTTAAAATTATTATTATCCGCGGAGGCTTATCGGATCTTGAGATTTATCTTCTCCGAACGTTAAAATTAGGTCAAGTCCGTTAAAAATATGTCAGTCTGGTACAAAACAGGGCATATTTTTATTCCATTGGCATTTAATTGAATTGTCCGGTATATGCATGTAATACTTTGCGCCGATAATCAACCTAGCCATCAATCAACCAATTAATAGAAATCATGACATCAGTACAATATATCATATATTTCCGTTTGTTTCCAGAGTTAAGCGTATAATGCGCAATCGGACTGCAATTGCAAAATCCCGCCATTGTGATGGTGTAGTTCCGACAAATGTTGATGGAGCATCAGGGAATCAAGCAGGATTCTATTTCACAGCAGATAATCAATTGGACTATAACAGATATTTAGTGACAGGTAATACATGTATATGCTTTTACATCCTTTCTTTATCCTTGTTTAACTTTGTAATAATGTTACAACATACTAGTGAACTATGTATATGTTGCACTTAAGGAATTCCTCGCAATATTTGTTAATTCCACTTTGACTAATACAAACACTATTTAAAGATACATATGACCTGTTGATATGAAAATTAAGAGCAGAGACGAATGATAACAAAAGCATATTCAAACTAATAAGTCAAAGAAAAGAAACTAACAAAGCCATGGCAAAAAAAGAAAAACGACGGAAAGACAAACAACAGTACACAAAACACAATATAGAAAATTTAAAAAGTGAGCAACAGGAACACCATCAAAACAGGGGGTGATCTCAGGCGATCCGGGGGTTGATATCAAGTAAATCGAATTTCAAAATTTGAACGAATGAACTTCAATTGGGCAATCTTAATTTCAATTTCCAACTATTGTAAATCACGTGCATACAACGTATGATACCGATTTTCGTGATCAGGACATGTGTTTCTAGATTAATCTTCATAAAGTACGCTGGAGATGGAAAGCATAGAAATGTGAAACGTTTGAGAGCATTTAAACCGGAAGGAGACCTGATCTGTAGTTAGTCTGAGGTAAGCTTAGCCTGAGGAATATGTACCTTAGTTTTGGTAGAATTACATTGTTTACGAAGTTGGAACTTAGCTTTTGGTATAATAACGTATATAAGATTCCCTCTACTACCTGATATACCTACTGTTATGACAGTTTGTCTGATAAAGGCTTATTTGCCAGCATTATTCTGTGATACACCATGTCAAACTTATACTCTTAGTTGAAGACCTGTTGATATCAAGCAGCAATTATTGAGCTTTTTCTTTGATTAATATTGATTTCAAGAAGTTCACGACAAACTGGCGGCGCCTGCATGTGAAGAGTGTGCCACCTAAATGATACGACATTCCAGAGCTTTCGTGACCTTGGTAGAGGGGTGCTGCTGGCTGGGGTGCTGTTGGGCTGGCTGTTTCGGGTGGAGGAGTAAGGGTTATTCCTCCGAGATGGCTGGTTGGCCGTTTTTGAATGACTATGAATCGAACGACCGCGGATGTGTTCCAATTGTAGAGGCTGCAATGCCATTCTCATGTTCGGTTGTGACATCACTGCATGAATCTTCTCACTATCATGAGAATCAAACTGGTGCCACTAGAGGAGCAGGATCTTCCTACCCGAAGCACCTGAGATTACCAGGAGTTTTTGATGGGGTTCGTGTTGCTCAGTCTTTAAGATTTCTATGTAGTGTATTGTGGGCTTGGTTGTCTTTTTGTATTTTTCGTTATTTGCAATGGCGTAGTTAGCTTCTCTTTGACTTATGAGCTTTGAATATCCCCATGGTATATTTCGTCTCTTTTTTATATCTTGTGTATATGTCACACATATCCTATTCTTTTTATAAGGTTTAAAGTATGAATTCGCATTGCTATTAGACGTGTCTCGGTATTTATACATCCAACATTCATGTATTTAGTTATGATGTTTCGTTTGTAAGTCTTGTTAGATATTGTGTTATGTCTTTTCGTTTGTAGTTTGAATTCTATTTTTATTTTCTATATGTATGTGAAAGTTAAGATAATTTAACAGCTAGTTCATTTATATGATTTTTAGTTTAAAGCAACTATATGCACAGGATTTATTTGTTTTTACACAGTTTTGATTTAAAAGAAAAACCGACATGGTTAGAAAATACAAATAATTACGCCATTACTAACACAATTCTATATTAATATTCTTGTAATGGTTAGAAAATACATAAAATAACACCATTACAAACTTAATCCCAATTTTATATTCTTTTTTTAGACATTTACCTGTGACGTCACTTTTTGTGGCGTTGATACATTCGTGTGACGGACAGTTCATAATTCTATTGTGGTGTACTTGTGTACTGTCGTAAATTGTTATTCTGTGGTTTACATGTCGTAATGTACTATTATATTATTTATTTATGTATTTCTCTAAGTGTTCTTGCGTTTATTTGTACTGTATTCCTGTCAAGTTGTCATTTTAGCGATATTTTTAACATTGCCATATAAGCGGAAGGTTTGGCTAGCAATAAAACCAGATTCAACCCACCATTTTTCTTAAAATGTCCTGTACCAAGTCAGAAATGTGGCAGTTGTTATCAAATAGTCCGTTTCTATGTATGTTGGCGTTTGTTTTTAAAGCAGTTCAGTGTTTATGTTGTTCCGTTGTTTTCCTCTTATAGTTGATGTGTTTCCATCGGTTTTGGTTCCTCACCCGGATTTGTTTCAGTTAAATTGATTTATGACTATTGAACAGCGGTATACTACTGTTGCTTTTATTTAAGTAGTTGAATCTAACAGTAATTTTCAAGAATTCGAATAAATGTATGCACAATGACAACTGAAAATCTGAAGTAAACCTAATACCATAAGACACTTTATGAAAATATGAGTCTATAGTACGCATAGAGCTCCCTTTTATAATAACTGTAGTCTTTCTATCTCTCATTGTTTGATATTTATTTATGTGTGTGGTTTTGTTTTCTCGTTTTTTGTTTTTGTTTAAAAGTTTGGGTTTTTTTCAAACCATACGCATTGGCTTGATCGTTTATTTGTCTATGTTGAAGTGCTTTGATTTGAAAGGATCTGGTCATCATTGTGTGAATTCCAAAAGAGAGGGAAAGGAATGGGTATGGTTCATAAGCTGCAAATGAGTCCTTATGTATGTATTGATCGGTTTTCACAGATTTGCCTAATATTACTGCAGTTTTTGTTATTATCTCAAAATATTCAGATCTGTTAACGAACATTAAAGTCAATACCAGAAGAAGCCTCAAAAGACTTTATTTGTGTTAACTCATTTTTACATTTCTTCACTGTTATTATGTCTTTCTTTTCTCAGAGTCTGTAGATGATTAGCTAGTTTCAAAGTCAGCGTCTTTCAAGCGAGTTATTTCCCTTTGATTAGCTATCAGAGGTACCAGGATTATAATTTAATACGCCAGACGCGCGTTTCGTCTACATAAGACTCATCAGTGACGATCAGATCAAAATAGTTATAAAGCCAAACAAGTACAAAGTAGAAGAGCATTGAGGACCCAAAATTCCAAAAAGTTGTGCCAAATACGGCTAAGGTAATCTATTCCTGGAATAAGAAAATCCTTAGTTTTTCGAAACATTCAATGATTACACAAACATAAACTCTCCCAAACAAAACATCCGGAAAAACAAAGTCTGCCATTGCAATGTTAATTTCCCATATATAAATTATAAATGCTACGTACACGCATCTAGACAGTTTTGGCAATGCAAATTTGGTCTACGCTGTTGTCCGAATTGTCACACTTGTAACAACAGTTTCTGCAAGTGAGACAAAGAAGGAGATGTTTATGTACTAAGTGACCATGTACAATTGTCCATTGTTCTCTACTATTCATTAATACTTTTTGAATTTCAAATGATGTCTGTTCAATTAGGCCGAGGCTTTTATAATGTTTTAACAGTAGTCTCTTTGGTGTATCCTATTTGATTATTATATAAAATGTGTGAATTAGTTATAAAGATCGCAATTTCAAGGCTTTGGGAGGGAAAAGATATTCAAATCATAAACTATTTCCCGAATTAATTTTTTTATTTCCTCTCGTTACTTTAAAGGTTTTGATATTAAAATAAAATGTAGTTGAAAATTCAATAAGATAACAAACAATGCAACTACACATAACAAACATAGCTATTTTGTTGTTTTTCAACATATTTTTATTTACAAAGTTACGTTTTTAACACGTGTATATAGATGTTTATTACTTTTTAACTTTTTATGCGGAAATTGGTATAAATTTTTTTTATCGATGATAATTTTTAAACAGAAAATGAACTTGATGCTTTGAGGTAGACATCATATTTGAAATATGTTACGTATCTTGAGCGTTATTCTCTTGGTATGCTAGGAAACTCTGATTTAATAAAAGAAGACATCATTATCTTTAGACAGAATACGCGTTAAAGAGCTTCTGCCCAAGAAGATTTTACGTGGGTTATGCACTATATTTCACTACTTAAATAAATTTACAGAGGCACATGGAAATGATTTAGCTATAGGACTGATGAACGATGTATTACAACTTAATGAACTGGTAGGCGACTTTGACTTCGCCATAAACGTATCATGTATGGATTATCACGAGTGTCACGAGTACAAACCTTTTTTTTATGCTAGAAAGGTAAACGGAAATATATTACATTTATAATTGTCTGGTTAAAATAGTCACCTTTACAAATCAAACCAATTACGAAAAATACACACTATGATCAATCTATGGAAAGTGCGAATCGAGAAAACCTTTTCTTTTGTGGAGTAGTATTTTCTTATGTAAACGAGATGCCTTGTTGGAAAATCGCAAACTAATGTTAACATTTGTAAAAACATTAGATTTTTCGGTAAATGAGTGTTTTTCTTTTTTAAAACATGGAATTATTTAACATGACAAACGTCTGTATAACTTTCGATGGATTGTGTAGACAATACATCGAAATTCCAAGTATGTTGTATTCATACCAGAAAATAGGCATACTAATTGTTATGCTTTTTTTGTTATTTAATGTTATTCAGGTTTATATCTGGTCTATATACCAGCTTTGATAAGTGTTTGGTATTACTATAAATTTTCACTTCGTACTATGAACTTCAAAATTATTTATTTTGTAAAAATATTTCCTTTCTCTATTTGAACTGTACACGTATACCTAACACCAAAATTATTTTCATTTACCTGTGTTTAAAGTAATTGCAAATGGCTGATATTTTTGTTCGAGCATATTGTTTTTCTTAAATTGTTTAACATTTCATAGCGGCATAACATGTTACTTTTATTATTCTTCTCTTAGTTTATTTATTTTGTATTTACATTGTATCATAGGTCAAATTTATTTGTTCAGTGTATGTTCACTGGTGATAATATGTCCTTTGATTGAGTTAGGCTATTTCAGTTGATATTTTATGGTGTGTCTTTCTATGTTGTGATGTTACACTATTGTTTCAGAAAAAGGGTGAAGGTTTGGTACCATTAAAACGTTTGAACCCGCTGCAATTGTTTGCACCTGTCCTAAGTCAGGAATCTGATGTTCAGTAGTTGTCGTTTGTTGATGTGGTTCATAAGTGTTTCTCGTTTTTTATATAGATTAGACCGTTGGTTTTCCCGTTTGAATGGTTTTACACTAGTAATTTTTGGGGCCCTTTATAGCTTACTGTTCGGTGTGAGCCAAGGCTCCGTGTTGAAGACCGTACTGTGACCTATAATGGTTTACTTTTATAAATTTTGACTTGGATGGAGATTTGTCTCATTGGCACTCATACCACATCTTCTTATATCTATATATGACTGCTCGTTGGTCGGGTTGTTGTTTGTTTTTTTTACACATTCCCTGTTTCCATTCTTAATTCTATGTGCATGAAATGTAACCTATTTGCACGATGTGTAATTTTGAAGCGTACAACTACTATGACAATCATGAGACAGTGGAATACACTTTCAATGTGTTCGATAGCAATTTAAGCCATAATCACGTGTAATATATTGATAATGTTATATTTTCTTATTTGAGTTTAATATTTTGCTAATAGAATAGCAATGATTTTTTATTATGAAAAACTTAATTTTATAATGTTATATTTTTCTCATAGAAATGCAGTATTTTAATTGCTTAATCTATATGCGGTATTTTGATTACTTAATTCAATGAATTTTTTAATATTAAACGTATGTTTTATTGCCGAAAACATCTTTTTTTCTCATGGAATTTTTATATTAGAAAATACCGCAACTCCACATAATAAACGGTGTTCTCGATTCGCACTTTCCATAGACAGATACTATAACAGTTTATATAAGCGCTGATCTGTATGTAATGCTGATTTAATTCACTAAGATTTTTTAGATTAAAAAAAATCGCTATTCACACTCAACTTGTGATTTTAACTTTTCCTTGAATAAAAGCTAACCAGTTTCTAAATAGCAAACCTATTTAGTTAACATGTTCCACTAACAGAAGTTTTTCTACGTTATAATCATTAGTTGGAGTCTATCGACAGTCATTCATTGAAATCACTTCCAATCCACCATTTGTGGTTGAATCGGAGTGGATTAAAACTCAAATTAAAACAATGATTTTATACATTCTAATATAAAGTTCAGTGTTTATACTTAACACATGGTGCAGTGTTGGTGTTTGATTAAAGTTCGTTATAATGCTTACATTCACATCTCTATCGAATCTGTTCACGAACTAAGACTGTTACTGGTGTAATATTTCTTAAACAAACATTACTTTGGGACTGCAATTGCCACATTTCGGTCAAAGTAGATGACTTGACCTAATATCCAAGAAGACCGCCATCGTAAGTTTGTTTTAGGAAGTATGAATAATAAGAGATGTGGGTTGAAGTCAATAAGACAACAATCTAATAAAATAATAAACCATAAACAAGTACGGCTACAAAGAAATTCCGGATCAGGAATGTTTGCATCAATCATTATTTTGACATTTGGGTAAGCACCATTAGTCTTTCATACATTTTATTTATTTAATTTTAGCCGGTGTTTCACATCCAATATGTGAGTTCTATCACAGAAGGTTACCAGATGCAACGAGAGATATGCTCATCGCTAGAACGACCTCGTTACATGAATACTATAATCAAGCATAAGATGGTAAACTGGAAACTTGATTGTTGATTTTTTTTCTCCAGTAAAGAACATTATCGTGATCAAATGATATTGTTCGCTGTTATTTGAAGAAAACTGTTTAATACTGCATATGTGTCATCGTGATATGTTTTTGGCCTAGATTACTGCATGATGGTTAACTAGATATGAGTGTACGTAGTTAACTACTCCACAGATTTTTTTTTTAATTTCACATATGGATTCTGCTTGTAAAAATACACCAGAAAAAAAAATAAAAAAAGGGGGTAACCGTTTTCGTTTTTGAGATACGAGCTGTTGAAATTAACAGCATGATACGGCGAAAATACAAAAGACACATAGGGAAAATCATAAAACTATGGTTTTTCAAAAATTATTGTGGGGTCAATTCTGGTTTGATTGTAATCAATTTGGTCACTTGTTTATTTGTTTATTTGGTTATTATTTTGTTGTAAGGCGTTTTTACTTTCTGTTGATATAAAAATGAGTCGTATTGTGTACCCTCTCCTGCGTGTCTAAAAACTGTGGTAATAGAGTCAGGCTAACTAACAATAGGATACCCAGATTGGAATCATTCTGATAATTTTTTTGAAGTTTTGAGACAGCACAGGCATACTTGTTTGGATTCGTAATAGAAGTCATTTCTCTTTCGTGTGCCCATTTTTCCATTCTTTAAGTAAGGGAGATAAATCGCGTAACTAACGATGCACGTTTTTTATCCCGAATTCCGGTAGAGGCGTGCAATTACGTTCACTTCGCCTTAACAAATGCAGACGTCAATCGGTAATTTTACTGTCGCAGTTTGAGTAAAAAAGAATATTTGCGATTGTAAAATGAAAGACTGAAATCGGCAAGCATTAAATTTTTAATCTTCTAAAATTTGTAGATAAACGGAAACGTTATTGATGCAGAGCATTCCGACAGGCAACATTTATTGGTGTAAGATTTTTCATGAAGGTTTTCAATACTGGTTATTATTTTTCTCATATTGGGTCAGTTAAGTGGTGAATGTGTGTAGTAAATTGGTCAATGATGGTGAAAATTGTCAAATTTTATTAAAAACATGTAAGATTTTGACAGAATTAATCAACAGCGATGTGACTTCACGCCGCCAATTTTTTTGTGAGTCAAGACTCAAGTAACTTTTTCTGTTTTTATATCTTGATGACGTCCTAGATTGTCTGAAGTTGTTCTCTATATTTTAGACAAATATTAATTTTATGTTTGAGAAGAGATGTTTTAATGTATGTGCTATTTTCTGGCTAGCGTTTCACAAAAGTTCGTACGACAATTTTAAATCTTACGTCGGTCGTACGTAAAAATCGTAAGTAAGATTTTGTCGTGGATTCGATCGTAAACTTACGAGTGGTTGTGGTAGTTGTAAGTAAAATCGCAGAAGTTTAAAATGATGGTATTTTGATATCAAACAGAAAAAATAATTTTCAATTGGATGAAGAGAGGACATGTTCAATGTTATTTTGGCCCGATCAAAAGTGACTGAAATCTAAAATTCCCGAGAAAATCGTTAATTTAGCATTGTCAACAAAATTTAGACAATTTAGTTTATTTAAATTGAACTAGAACGAACACCTTGCTTCCAAACGCTGACCCATAAAAGGAGGTGTGATGTTTGACCACTAGGAACAAAGCCTTTTGATTAAAGAGAGATTGATAATTGATCGGTACTTTCCTTGCAACATAGGATCTTGCATTACAGAATCTCAAAACAGACAATTAGACATTTTTATTCATCTAGATTGTATGTCATCCACAGGTACCCCAACCAACCGCGTTCTACACGGGAATATATATGTGAGTAGTGTCGTTGTATACAAATTTCGATTATTTTCAAACAAATATTAGTCCAGAAAACAAAAAGTTATCACTATACATACATGTAGTGATATAGTTGCATCTATTGTTTCAATACAATAACACGAGTTGCTTTGCGTTCTTTTAGGTTCCCGTTTGCCTTTGAGGTATAAAATATATGCCTCAACACCGTACTCAATACATGCTTTCCTCCTTTTGTTAGATGACGATAAACTTGTATTTATGTATTTATATCGTAAAAGTTTGGCGTTTTCTATTAATTATTTGTAAGCATTCCCGTGTACCGTGAAATATAAAATTGATTCAATCCAGGAATTCAGCCAAAAAATAATAAAGAGAAAAGAGCAATAAAATTACCAGCAGAAGTTCAGTAACAGATAATCTATCAAGGCAGCACCCTTATTTCCCTCTCTATGTTACAGTAGTAGAAGGAGTATCAGCCCGAACTTTGCTATTGCTCATGCATATTTTACCCTGTTAAAACACTGTTAGCTGCACTGGCAAAATTTATATAGCTATAATTTACTTTTATTCGAATTAAATGAAGCAAATATAATAGAAAAGAAAGGATATGGGGTATCCATCAACGACACAAAATCAGTACATGCACAGAAGAAAAACACAAAAAGCAAAGGGACAGCGCTTTTAAAGCTGTTCTTCATCTGAAAATTATAGTAAGGCCTTCATACATTTCCAGTGATATACTAGTAGGTCATCAAAATATTTTCTAACCGACAACAATGTATATGTATGTTTAAAACTCGGCCATGCATTAAGAATTGTACAGGAAGCTGGTTTAAAGGATGAATCCAATTAAATATAGCATTTACTTTGATTTTGTTTGACGAGAAATTAATTAATTTCAATTCACTTCAACTTGTTGCCCTACTAAGAACTGTGTAAAATTGTCCTTGCATGATAGTTTTCATTGACCATGGCATCGTGAGATCACTAGTTATAAGGTCATAAGTGCTACCTTGGTATTTATGTGAAGCTATGCTAAATGCTGGAACCAATAGGAACATGGTCCTTTCTACTTGAACTGGAAAATTAGATGTCAATAAAAATCTGAATGTGATTGCTTCTATTGGTTCACAATATTTAAGTGGAGAAGGACTTTTTTTTTGCTTCTCTATCATTTGCAGGACTTCCAAACTTCATGACAATTACACCTTTTGTTTGATTTTTTCATTTACACATCATTAATCCCATTAACTAGATGATCAGCAATGTCAATGTTCTTAGGTATCTCGGCTTTTGCATTTTTTGAGAATGTGAGGGCTCATGGAAGTCTGCCTATTTTATGAATATTTTCGTCCATAATAGTAATAGGAACAGTGCTTGTGGTAATGTCCCTTTGCAATCTTTTGTCCAGATGGTGATCTTTTCAGGCAAAAAACTAATTTTTTCTTCATTGAATGTGGATACCTGTTTGTTTGTTAAAAATATGTTAACTGTAGATTCTGGAAATTTGTCTGTTGTTGGTTGTATTTTTCTGGTATTTTAAAATCCTGATATCAGTGTTTCTGAACTGGGTTTTCACTATTCACACATGTTAAAGAGAAGCGAACAATACCAAAGGGATATTATCATAAGTCGAAATAAACTGACAACGCAATGACTAAAAAGGAAAAAGACAAACAGACAAACACCAGAACTCAAAACATAACATAAAAAACTAAAGACTGAGCAACACAAACCCCAACAAAAGCTGGGGTGGTCTCAGGTGCTCCGGAAGGGTAAACAGATCCTTCTCCACATGTGGTACCCTTCGTGTTGCTCATTTAAGTACAAACTTGGTGATAAGTCTAATTCGGTAGAACACATTCGGAGAAAAGGGGACGGGTTTGTAGTTACGACAATTTAAACATATCCGTCGTCATCTGTGAAAGAAACTCATCATAGATACCAGCATTAACATTTTGTACGACAGACGCGCGTTTTGTTTGCAAAAGACTCATAAGTGACGCCCGAATCAGAAAAGTAGAAAAAAAAACAAATAAAGTACGAAGGTGATGAGAATTGAGGACCCAAAAGTCCGAATATTCCTTAACGGTCAACTAACGCATGATGGCGTCCGTAAAATTTACGAATGTGTCCTTAGTTAGAAGATGGAAAGCAGAATGAAGCGTTATGTCATTGATGTTAACTGCTACCTTTCCAGTAGAGAGCTCTGGATTTTGTGCTGGAGTACGTAATGCTCTTGTTACACCTTCGAAAATTACATCAGTCAAATGTGATTTCCCCACACCTCCACCACCACTCAAGAAAATAAAAAATGGATCTGCTTCATTTTCAGATATTCTACTCTCTACGTTTCAACACAAGATGCTATCAAATAAATGTATTTGTTTCTTGTTCAATGACTGAATAACTTTATAGAAGTCATTGTCTAGCAATTGACAGGTTTTTGAAAGGGAAACATATTTATCCAGTTATCTATTTCTGAGGTTTGCTTCCTGAACATCAGCTGTCAGGTTTTCTGGATTTAAATATAATTAGTTGGGGTCATCTTGAATAGCCCCTTCTTTTCTTTTTTGTTTTATGTTTGCCGTAAGGTTTTCCCAAACTTTAGATGCCAAGTCATTAGGACCCAAATTTTCTAAAATAGTATCAACATCTACATGATATGGCTCAAATAATTTGATTGTTGGAACAAGTTAATTCTTTAACATTTTAAAATGAATCTTCATAAGAATAACATGTCTTTGATACACATGCATCTCTCCGTGGTTGGTACAAAAGAAACAATCTAGGGAAAATATGCTTCCTTGTCTCTTTCCTTGGACATATTTTGGTATATAATGACTTGTGGGACTTTACTATTATACAACTGCGCTAGACCATCTCTGAGCGTTGTAAAATATGTGTGGTGTTGTCATCAACCTCATGTTGTATATCTACGTTAGGATCATCATTTGAAGATGATGATTTAATGGTGTAATTTTTTACAAAGTCTGCAAATGACAGTTGTTCCAGATTGTTTGGTCTAGCAGCATATCTATCATGGATAGTTGTCAGATAAATATCTGCATCGTCATCCTGCATTCCATCAAGAACAGATGTCTGCTTTAAAATACGAATCAAGTTTTCTTTGAAATCAGTTGATTAAAACATAACAGGTGTTTTTGATCTTCGAAAAGGAATATATCTCATTATTACCTCGTGATGTGACACTTCTCTTCCTTTCCTTGGCTGGTTAGCAATGTCATATAGTTTATCAGTCACTCTATTTTCGTGTGTTTCCTTTACTTGCTTTTGTATGAGCTTTACCATTGTCTTTCTTTTAAGGGTTTGCAAAGATATGAAGTAATGTAGGCAATGCATGCCCATATTGATACCATAATTTGGAAGTCATATTTTACCTGGAAAAGAAGGAAAACAAGATTCAAGTAAAAGCTTACTTATTTAACTGCATTTGGTGGCGAAACTCTGCTAGAAGCTGCTTACTGCTCCAGAGCACATGGGCTTGCCAACAGGTTTTTTCAAACTTTCATTTTCATGTTGCTTATCTACTTAAAATTGTGATGTTGTGAGTATGGTTGGTGTCTAATTCATGCAATTTTGGATCCTGCTCGTTTTCTGGTACTGCACAATAACATATGTGTCAGAAAAGGTGGTAAACATTTTATCTACCTTCACAAGAACAGCAGACTAAAAATGTGCAGTACCATGTCCCTGCATCGCTTTCCTTAAGTCATAGTTTAAAATCTGACCAATAGGT